CTCTCTCTCTCTCTCTCTCTCTCTCTCTCTCTCTCTCTCTCTCTCTCTCTCTCTCACACACACACACACACACACACACACACACACACACGCAGCAATCTTTCTGCAGAATCTGCACTCTCTGTATGTGTGATGGAGCGATCAGATATTCCTTGAGAGCAGTTCAGTTACCATGTCGGCTCCATTGCCATGGATGATAAGGAGTCGGTGGTGACGTGTACTTGCAAGCTAATCATCGTCATCAGAGTCCAGCTATGCACGAACGATGGTCAGAAAGAATGAACTGAAGGGAGGGAAGGATAAGGATTCCAGACGTCGCAAATAAAGCACATGAGGGAGAAGGAGAAGAAGAGGAGAGCCGAGAAGTGGAATCGGACAGGAAGTACTTCGCTTTGCAAGTGAGACTAAGGGCCTCGCCGCACCACTCTCCAAATGTGAAAAAGACAAAAATTTGGCGGGTGCATCTGGCCATGTTCTAGCAGGAAGTTCATTCTCCTTTTGCACATTTCGAGCGTGGTGCGGCGAGTCCCCAAAAAGTAAGACATCCGAGGGAGCACCGAGGAAGCAGAAAAAGAAGGAAAAGAAGAGTTGAAAGCAATGGGGAACGGCCACACACAGAGAGAGAGAGAGAGAGAGAGAGAGAGAGAGAGAGAGAGAGAGAGAGAGAGAGCGGGAGGGAGGGAGGGAGGGAGAGACCTAATGTAATTAACCATCCATTCCATCGATTTGTGACATCAGCTCCCCACAAATATTTCCCTTTCTTCACGACGAGAGTCGCCCAAGGCAACCTACTGCCCGGCGTGAGTCCACACAAGGGCGTCGGCAGCAAAACGGGAACGACGACCCACCGTCCGAGGTGGTAAAGTGAAAGAAAAGAAAAGGAAAAAAATACGGTAAAAGCTCGCGAGGAGGCAGATTGCTTTGACACGCGGCAGCTTTGATTACTCGGTGAGTGATTTGAATGCTCCAATCACTGTCGCTTCGTTTTCTTTCTGCCAAACAAAAACAGATATTGCAGAGTGGCAGTGGAGAGATCAAGAGACATTGGCCGTCGATCTGGTTATCTGCCGTGCAAGTGGGACCTCGGCCCAAGGTTGGCACCTTTTTTGGGGGGGGGAGACCGTTTCTCGATCGATTTATGCGTGTCATCCTTGCGCAGGGGCCATGCTAATCTTCTTTCCCTGTATCGTTGGATGTCCCGAAGGACAGGTCAAGATTGGCACTTATCGCGACTTCAAAATGAAAAGCCCTCGAAAACAAAAAAACGAAAAAGAAAAAGGGAAAACCGTCATCCTCCGGCTGGGAAGGGAATCACATCCACAGGGCGGCATGACCAGCAAGATAGGACATCGTCGCATCACTCACCAAATGCGAAAACGACAACGGCTGTATGTTTCCGCGCTATGCTCCCTTTTTGCGCATTTAATATGTCACATTTATCAAGTAATCCGGCAGGCCCATAAGCCGCATCTCTGCTAATGCATTGGCTGACTAGGCGGGTGCGGGTCCGCAGCCCGCACGCATGCATGGGTGAAGGCTGCGCCCCAAGCCCCAAGGTTGGATCCGTACCCCTGTTGGGATGCATGGGGCCAGAGGAAACCAACGAAGAGGCGGTTTGGGGGGGAAATGCAGGGCCTCCACCAGCCAGACTGCGCTACAAGATAAGAAAGTGCACCTATGGGCCGGTTCAAGGGCACTGCAGGGCTGGAGCCGGGGGGCCTACGGTAGCCGACCACGGAAAAGCGCCAAGAATGGCCCCAAGGAAAAGCGCCAAGAAAGGCATGACGCGGGGACAGGGCAGTGGGATCACCTACTGAGAATCACAACAGCAGTCTTGGCTGAACCACAAATGCGCCTGATGACCAAATTACGGGCTATGCTCCACCAACTTACTCTATCTCAGTTGGTAAGGCACGCAAGTGGCATTCAGGATCTTGGGTTCAATCCCCATTGACCTCATGTACCTTCCTGGCCAAGCTTGGCGCCTGCCACCCAGAGATAAGGGTCGTTGGTAACCCCGATAGGGGGAGGGGACCGGAGGGGAGGCACAGCAATTGGCCCCGCACAATTGGCCCCGCACACCTGCTGTAGCAGGTATCGCACCTAATACCTGCAACTCCGGCATGTTCCCTAGAGGCTTGAGCACGGCCGTAGCAGGTATCGCAGGTGGGTGCAGCTCCGGCATGTTCCCTGGAGGCTTGAGCATGGCAGGTATCGCACCTGCTGGTGTAATACTATAAAGGCCATTCCTACAGGTGATTGAATTGGTAAATCCCCCGAAGGCTCGGTAAATGTGGAGCTCTTCCCGTAAGAATTTGTGGGGGCTTGCTATTGGAGTATGCTCGTATCACCTCCAATCGCAGGTTGTCACAGATGTTTGCCATATTCAAAAAAAAAAAAAAAAAAAAAAAAATTGTGGGGCTCCAACCACCAGGTCTTTCGGGACTCTTATGAAAACAGCGCCTTGAAGCTCGGTCCTGTTGCTGTAGCAGGTATCGCACCTGCTGGTGGGTGCGACTCCTGCATGTTCCCTCGTTGGAGGCTTGAGCACGGCTGTAGCAGGTATCGCACCTGCTGGTGGGTGCAACTTCCGCATGTTCCCTCGTTGCACGGATATGGCTGCTACGGGGTTCCCCATAATAGTATAATCACAATGAAAGGTCATTCCTACAGGTAATTGAATTGGCAAATCCCCCGAAGGCTCGGTAAGTGTGTGACGAACCACTTCACGAACCCGTGCTATCTTTCGTACCCTTTCTTTTGCTTGTATCCTACCAACCCCATGAAAAACCCCGTTTTGATTTCTTGCTTTCGGGTGCTGCATTTTCCTTTTTTTTTTGAGAGCTTTTTCGACTGCTGAGTTCTGTTTTTCCTTTTGCAAAGTCGGGAAATACATGGGAAATTGCGCGCGCCTTAGCAAGCGCGCTGGGAATTGGGCTCGGTAGTTGGGAACTCC